ATTAAAGGCCCTAAGAGATCAACAGGCCTTTCTCTCTCTCTGCCTAAACCAGACAGATCCATCAAAAGAACAAGTCACTTCCCTTCCCCTCCCTGTTATCTCAGTATATTGCAGGAAAGATCAAGAATGCAACCAGACCTGGCCCAAATCATTTTAAATATAATACCATCTCTCAGGTTAATTTAATTTGCAACGAGACTCATGTACAAGTCAATCTGTTTCCCCCATCCATTCACCCTCCCCAGCAACCATTTATTGCCCCTAACCAGAATTACCTCTACTCCTCATCTCCCCCTCCCCTCCAGAAGGAGGGTATAAAATTTCTGGGCCTAACTGAGATATTGGGTAATTGCTCCATGATTCTCCCTGTTCACACAGTAAATAAGTCTTTCTCTGATTAATCTGCCTTAATGGTGAGTCGATCTTTCAGCGAATTTCCAGGGGGAAAGGGGAAGATTCCCCTCACCCCCCCAGTATCCTTGCTGGGATGTGGAAGTGAAAAAGGGAAGTGTCCAAGGTGAGTCCCGGCCTCTGGTCAAGGACAACTGGATGGAGTTAGCGCCATTCACTGAACTGAAGGGCCCAGGAGGATGCCCAGGTGTGCAGAAGCTGAGCTCAGCTTTAGATGGTTAAGAAAGACTCATGGAAGCTCCAACTGAATGTGGTCAGCAGGCAGTTGGGAGTGTTCAATACAAACATTTAACCATGACAGATAAATTGAGGGCATCTGGCAGCATCTCGTGAGGAGAGAAGAGGGCACAGAATCCACATTTAATGCCTGGGGAGAGTAGAGGATTCAGAGCTATTGAGACGAACAGAAAACCAAGGGGAAAAAACCAGAGAAACATGGCACCGTGGATGCCAAGAGAAGAATGCTTCCATCTGCTGAGTGGACCTGGTACAGCGAGTCACACGGGCACGAAAAAGTGAACTCTGGATTTAGTGCCCTGTTGACCTTAGTGATAAAGTGCATGTGGAGTAATGGGGCCAAGTGCAGTAGCTGAAGAGCGAATAGGTGGAAAAAGGGAACACAGTGAGTATCACTTCTAGGCGACTGGCTGCGAAGGTAAGGAGAGAGAGGGGAAGGTGGTTGGAGGGTGCATGGGAATCAAGGCAGAAATTCCCAATTTGGTGGAGACTTATGAAAAGGATCCAGTCAAGGAGGAGAGGTTGGAGACTCGGAACACAGGGGGTTGAGAACGTTGGTAGGCATGAGATCCAGGATAGAGCTTTGTCCTTAGTCAGGAGGAGAAACCCTCCCTCCACTGTCACTGGTAGAGCAGGGAAGGGGGAGACATGCTAAGAGGAGGAAGCTGAGGCAATTGGAGCTCCAACTTCTCAATAAATTAGGTGATAATTCCATTAACTGAAAGAGAGACAGAGAGATGGAGGAGCTCTAAGGTTTAAGAAGAGAGAAAAAGTGAGCTCTCTAGAGAAATGTATTCAGCTTTACCAGGCAGAATCCCTGTGACCACAGTCAAGTGGGCACCCCAGTGGCCAGCTACATGGCTTCCCTCTGCAGTACTCAGCATCCACATGTGGGCAAGAGAAAGGAGGTGGAAAGTGCATTTGGGCCTGGAAGTTTCCGAGTGAGAATGAAGGAAGAACAGAGAACAAAGGAACTTAGGACAGGTGCAAGAGGACCTGACTCACGGCTCCATGAGGTCAAGCAACAGTGAGGACAGATTCGGGTGGGGTGATCCCACAAGACATAAAATACATCAACACTCTGTTGTTTGCCTAGCCGATCCTCCCCTCCCCACCATACATGCGGTGCACGCATCAGCACTAAGTTATGATCTTTAAATACTGAATGAATGCGTGACTAAGAACTGACTTCCACGAGCGCTAAAGCCCTGGGGGAACCAAAAAATATTTCCAGAGTTCTGGTGTGTCAGACATTGTTCTAGGAGTCGAATGATGAACCAAACGGATGTGGTATTTGCCCTCAAGGGGCTTATGCTCTCATGAGGGAAGACCAACCAGACCCCAGATTACAAAGAATTGATTTAATAGAACTACGTGCATTGTTGGGAAAGGTGTCCAAACTATCTTGGATCCTGTATATCAGCAGCCACATTGGCCGTGCACAATCCCCTCCCTTGTGCTAATCCTGGTCCAGATGATCACTTGGATTATTGTGCTTCAGAAATATGCTTTGCCCAGTAACAATTAGTTACGATTTACTAAACACCTACCGATATAATGGGCCAGGCATTGATTGGCAGCACTTGTAACAGATAATAGCATATCCATACTCCAGACCAGGAAATTGGTTTCTGGGGAAATTACTGATCAAAGATCACTTTGCTGGTTAGTGGTAAAGCTGTGCCTCAGTCTGGCCTTTCTGTTCCATAACGTGCTCCCTCTTTGGATGTTTGGACGGAGAAGTACTCAGCCTGAGTTTTATTTTCCCGTGGAATGAATTCTTTCCAATGCTGTGATAGCTCTGGGGTCGGAAGCTCCCCTGGTGTTCTTCCAACAGAGCCACTTCGCGTTGGATCCTTAAAATGTTTTCAAACATTTTAATATATAATTTGGATATAACATGTAGTTATTTTCATAGACGTGAAAATTCCTTTCATAGGAAAGATGTGAAATAACACTTTTATCCTTATGATTTGATTGAGGAGATTGAACGTTTTCCTTCTCTTACTGTTAGACATATAAATAATCACAGCAAGAGTTTAATACAAAAATGTTTATAATTGCACTATTTATGATTGTACAAACTTCTCAAACAGCCACAAACTGGGAACCAGGTAAGAAAACGATGCCATATTACACTGATGGAATGCCATGTTGCTATGGAAATGATAAGTATACTATAAATAGATCTATATAAAATTATATGTTAATTTACTGAAATATTGATTTAAAACCGTTTTCTCAAATCGCAGATTCATAGCTGAGAGGGTCCTTAGAGACCATCTTGTTTTACAGGCTAAGAAACTGAGGCAGCATGCGTGCTAAAATACCACCATGAAAAATCAACAGGCCGAGATGGATTTCTGCATCCTTCAGTCCTACAGAGATACCAAATTATAATCGGGTAACATTAATTTTCCTTTCTTGATACCATGTTTTAATCATTTACCAAAAAGTTTTATGCCTCGATGAACAAAGCCAAACATATTAATTCATTCAGCTATTTGATAAGCATTGACGACATTCCCAGCACTTTGGGAAAAAAACAAATGTTATAGGCATTTCTCTCTACTTGGGTCCAGTTTTACTTCCTGGGTCTCCAGAAGCTCATTAGACCTCTATCTTCTTCGTGAATTGCTCTCCCTGTGGGGCTGCTTTTATAGATTAGTGACAAGGAACATCTCACAATGTAGTGGAAAAAGATGAAGGAGTCAGAAAAGGAAATTTGAAGCAACATGGTAACATGTGAACTTAGTTCCAGAAAGCCACTGATGTTAGTTAAAACTACAAGGCTTTGTTGGAAGAAGACCTGGGGAGCTTCCCAGCCCAGAGCTATCACAGCATTGGAAAGAATTCATTCCACGGGAAAAGAAAATGCAGGCTGGATACTTCTCCATCCAAACACACCGCGTTCTGGGAAAGATGTCAAGAGTCCATTTCTTGAATCTCTAGTGTCAAATAAATCGTGATTTTTTTGGTTGTTGTTTAATATAAAGTTATGACTACATGTTTTTCATATTTTCACATGTTTCCTGAGGTTTTGGAGGGGGCCCACATCTGTCTTTACTTTCTTACAATGCCCTTATTGTACTTTGGACGAACACTCATGTTAAAAAGTCAAGATTGGTTTTTTTAGGTCTGGACATTTCAATTCAAGGTTAATGCTTACTTCACTTTGGGTCCTTAAAATGTTTTCAAACATATTTTAATATGTAATTTAGATATAACATTGAAAATACTCTTAGAAAATACTAAATCTTCAAGTGCCAAATCCTCTAAGATACTTTTTGTAAGTCAAAGACTATATGTTCAGAATCATTACATCCATTCTGGTTTTTTTTTTTTCCCCAAAGTGTGTGAATCTGCCTTTGTTGAATAAGGTCATTTAAAATGTATATGATAAATCACACATCTGAATACATATCCAAAAGAATTGAAAGCAGAATCTCAAAGAGACATGCGCACAACCATATTCATTGTGGTATTGTTCACAATCGCCAGAAGTTGGTAGCAACCTAAATGTCCTTCATTGGATGGATTAAAAAAATGTATATACACACAACGAATATTACTCAGCCTTAAACAAAAAGGAAATCCCATCACATGCTACAACGTGAAAGAACTTTGAGGGCGTTATGCTAAGTGAAATAAACCAAAGATACACAGGACTCTAACCCACACACACCCTAGGCCCTAGCCAGTGCTCAGGGCTCCTCCCATAAAGCATTTCTCACCCGTCAAGGTTTCCTAATCATCATCTTAACCACTTTTCCTGAACAAGAACCAGCCTCCTGGAAGGTGCTCATTCAAATATGGCAAATCTTTGTCCTACCAATTGCATCTGTATCTAAAAGTCATAGATTCACAAAAGTAAAAATCATCACGAGCAGTTGAAAAGTTTAAAAGTAGTTTAAGTTGGTGTCTGGTCAAGTTGCTCACGGGAATCTGTTAGAATCATTTCAGTTTCCATTATGACGACTTAAAAAAAACATAAAACAGTAAGTCCATTATTCTTCACAATTCTTAAGTTTCCATCTCTATGCATTACAGTTTTCCATAAAATTTTCGTTTTTTATACATTTTCCTCTTGTCACGTTTTCATAGAAAATTATCATATATTATGGTTTCCTATAAAATTTCACCCTTGCAACCGATGTTGGTAGGATTTAGCAATAATTTTTTTTTTTTTAACTGAGCAAAGAAAATCTATGACTTCGGCTCACTGAGCTTCCATTTTCATCATCTATTAAGGTGAAACGGTAGAACGGTGCAGAAACAGTGTAATATTTAATGAGGGATCGAAACTCAACTCTTTTCCCAACACAAGTAAAAAAAAAATTTTAAGTGCTTACCTGAGACGAGAGTCCTTAAAGGCGTCCAGATACGCAGGATAGCTCCATCCGATTTTGCTCCCTTTACATCGAAGCTCCACGGTTTGCCCAGCCGTCAGACTCAGGGTAGCAGCAGGTTTCTGGAAGCGACCTTTATCCATCACTTGAATCATTATAGACTGTGTCTTTGGTGTTGAATCAGCTGCATCCCTGTCCTTTATTTTAGGAATTTTGGGCTTCACCTTTTTGTTGGTAGGTTTGATTCTATTTTCTCCTTGTTCCTTTGGACGTTTGTTCTTGGGAGGGTGTTGGCCGGTAACTGTACGAATGTGAGGAGAGAGCAGTGGGCGACAGCAGTGGCATTCACAGGGTATTGATACCTATAGCAGATAACTTTTTAACACTTCCCTTCTCATGTGTCAAAATTATCTTCAGTGATAATCATGTAGTAACCATCATTTTCTTGATTCTTTAGTTTTAAAGCAATTAAAAAGAAATATATCTCAGCATCAGATATTATTCAAATTCAGCAGAATATTTCATGTATGAACTAAAATTTGCCCTTACAAAAATATGATTCCATGTAGTTCACACACTGTCCCATAATCTCCAAGTGGTCACATACGATGGCAGAACTGAAGGCACTCGGGTCTGTGTCTTTGCAATTTCTATGTTATCATGGCTCAGTTTGCATCTACTATTTAAACACAGGAATATGTAGTCTCCCAGAGACTGGAGACACCAACTGTACTGAAAGTACACTCAAAAGATTTCGAACCATAATGAACTCTCAAAACAAATGCATTGAGTGGCATCTACGTTTGTCGGGGGCTAAAGCGTCCATGTATTGATAGAATACAATGTTTACTAAAGAATAAGTACTAAACATATGCCAACTTAAAGCCTACGTATAAGTTATTAAAACTCAACAGTAACTGTAGCAGTGGTTTAGAATGTAGCCAACAAAACATCTTTAGGGGGAGGAGTATCTCATCACCAAAATTGTTGAGTTGCCAGTAAACAGTGATAATAAAAAGCTGACCAACTTTAAGTTGGTTTTATTATTGTTTTTGTCTTCTCTACAGACAATGAACCCCTTACTGCCTGCACCCAGGGAAGGTTGCTCCCACTATGCTGCCTTTGGAAGGCCATGGGGCTCCAGAAATCTCAGCCAGGGTCCCTGCAGCCTTGCAGTTGTGTCCGCCCAACGAAGGTGAAAAGCGGACTGTCCTCTAGTTTCAGTTTGACCATCCGTTTGCAGCAGCTCAGAGGCCACCTTGATATATGCCCATAGAATTACACAATGTCCCAATTTACAGGATCCTTGGAGATTATTTAGGTAAAGGCCTCATGTTGTAGATTAAAAAGAAAGGAAGGAAGCCCTGAAAAGTTAAATCAATTGCACAAAGTCACTCAGCTGGTTAGTGGCAGAACGCAGGAACCTAGGTCTCCTAGCCTCAATTCCAAAGTGCTTGTTTCACTATATGGAGATAAACATTCTGTACATATTTTAAATAGATACACACACCTTGGCCAATTGAGAGAATTACAGGACACTTTTATAAAATGGGAAAGTGTGATAAGAGAAAATTATAATAAAAAAACTCAGGCCAGGTGTGGTGGCTCATGCCTGTAATCCCAGAACTTTGGAAAGCTGAAGCAGGAGGATCACTTGAGCCTGGGCATTTGAGACCAGCCTGGGCAATATAGCAAGACCTCATATCTAAAAAGTAATTTTTTTAAAAAACTCAACTGCTTTGGATTCAGCTGGGTAATGATGAAACTTGGCTTCTCTTATGTGTTGCCCTTTGACCTTTGATATAAGAGCCACTTAGCCTCCACTCTTGGTTCAGCCTGGCCCAGATTCTAGAACCAATCCTGCTCTTAGGACCTTTCAGCTCCGTGTCAACACCCAGTCCTCACTCTTCAAGCTTATATGTCTTGCTCCTGGAGTCCTCTGGGCTCCCCAAGAGCCCATCCATTGGCTCTCTTTTCTGTGACCCCATGTCTGGTTGTGATTTCTTTCCACTCCTACGCCTGGGTCTCTTATTTCCTTTTCTTCCTCTGCTCCCATTTCTCTGGGTTATGGGCCTTGCTGAGCTTTCTCAATCCTTCCAGAGAGTAGAGTTGTCTCCAAGGCAGAGTCCCCAGCACCTGCCGCTGAATCTGCCGTCTGCCCAGACTTCCACCAACGCTGGGCGCTGGGTTTGGCACCCTGGTTCTAATGTTAGAAGGGCGCAGACACTGGCTCACATGCACACACTCTCCAGCCTCCTAGAAGGAGCAGCATCGTAACTGCTGGGAACACGTCAGACCAACAGAAATACACTCATTCAGCAACATCGGTTGTGAAGCATAACCCTCAGCTTGGCAATAGTGTAGAAGTCACATTATTCTTCTTAAGACAGAAAATAAAAGCCTATCATTGTGATGTCCAAGTAATCTGTGCCTTATGGCATTAGTCACCCTATGCCTATGAGATTAATGAACCTCTGGATCAATGTCTAATTGGGTGTTTTATCGTGTAACGGGAATTCGAGCTATCAGAAATAACAATCATGATCTGCAAAGCCTATGGAATTTAGGCAATCAGTGCTACCTGGCTGACTTCTAAGCTAGCAGATCTTGTGTTGCTCTGCTACTCAGGAACATCAGATTAGCCGATGATGGATATTAATGCACCCAAATGTTTGCTATTATCCCTGCAAGATAATTTGATCTTTTGACCAAATATCCCCACCAGTTGATCTAACTATATACTTGGTCCATCTGCCGGACTACAGAATGGGTCCACGGTTTGCTGGCAATGATGCTAAGTTAAGGGAGCCAGCCTAGCGACCCCACAGATGGCCAGACAGTCCCAGGATTGAGTGACTCCCAAATCCCATGTCTAATTTTTTAAAAGAATATGCCTCTTCAGCCTATGCAAATTAGTTATTTTCCAAAGACTTAAAGAATGTATATGGTAGATAAAAGAGAAAGTCCATTACTATTACAATTTTGAGACTATTGCATAGTATATAGACAAATAAGTGGCAAAATTCACAATTAAATATCATCATCGACTTCAGATCCAGGCCTGCCACTTACTAACTGCGTGACCTTGGGAAGTTACTTGCCCTCTTCTTAGTTTTCCTCATCTGTAAATTGAGAATGATAGGGTTACAGTAACTATCTCATGGATTGTTGCAGGAATTAAATGAGTTAATGTTTACAATGCTGACAATAGTGTCTGAGCCACAGTAAGTAGCTGCTAAGTGCTACCTGTTTTATGATTGTCTCGTGTGACTATGACAAACTCCTGGTAGAAGCAAAGCAGCTATTATTTAAGTTCACAGATGCTAAGTATCTCACCCTCGGTCATTAAAAAGGTATTAAAAAAAAATCAGACCCTCTGATCCAAGTCTAGAGCTTTCTCTGGTTCATGCCATTGCCTCTCGATTCGCTTAGAGATGAGCATATTGCTGCAGTTTTGCTTTATTTGCACACATCTTTGTGTGATAGGACGGGGGGTTCCAAGTCAAACAGAACTTGATGCTGGGGATGGGAGCCCAGCCTCCCAGGAAGGGCTGGAGATGCTGTTCCCAGGCATCCATTAGAATCCCCAAGTGATGCTGGTCAAAAACTCGTCTCCAAAAATGAATGAAGAAATGTTACAAAGCAAGAAGGAAGCAGGGAAAAGGAACCATGAGTATTCAAGTGCTCCATTAACCTCTCTAATTCCACAGAGCTGTGGAGGAGAAAATAAATTCATTAGAAGAATCATTGACCGCTGCTTAGACGAGGCTTGCATGTTAAACAGTCATTAGGATCAAAGAGCTGGAGCTGTCTGGTTTTTCCTGCCTAATGGGCAGTTATGGGGAAAGGCCAGCCCTGGGGGGAACATCCAAGTAACCACACTATGAATTTCCTGAGCAGCTCCGTTGTTTCCCAGGTAGTTATATAAACAGAAACGTCCCCTCTCATTTTCCTATTCTTCAGAAACACCCCACAGGAACACACACACTTTCCCGAGAACAAAGCTGAGAAGGTGACCCCAGGGAGATGAAAATGTAGAGAGATGAGAGTCCTTCCTTTCCTCATTGCCTTCGAGAACCCCACTCCAAAAAACTCTCCTGCCACTTATAAAGTATCATTTTCTGAGAATTAGATTCTTCTATTTCAGGATAAAGACCTTCATTCGAAGCATTTTCCAGAACTCGTTAGAACACGGTTGATGACTCTTTTTGAAAAACTCCATTCACGCAGCTCCCAGGACGCCATGCTGTCTTGGTTTTCCTGTGTCACTGACAACAGGTCAGCCTGTCTGGCAGCTCGTCCTCGTCTTTCTCTCCTGCCTGACCACTCCTCTCTTACCACCTTCACTCTCCCGATGACCCCGAGCAGTCCAACGGATGGCTCCTGCAGCAGTTCTATGCTGAAAGCTGCCCCAGGTCCCATCCTGACTCTGTCACTAAACTGCACATCTGAATATTCTGTCGCTTACTCAGCACGGCCGCTTGGAACTAGCAGGCATCTCAAATTTAGCGTGTCCAAAACTGACCTCTGGATGCCTCTTCACACTGATCCTCCCCAGTGTTTCCTTAATCAGCAAATGGCAACTCTGTTCACCTAGTTGCTCGGACAAAAACCTCAGTCTGCCTCCTTTTCTTTCTCCCCCAAACCACAGCTAATCTGGCAGCAAATCCTTTTGGCTTCACCTTGAAAACAGACCTTGAACCCAGCCTCTTCTCCCTCTGTCCACTGCTACTGCTGGAGGCCAAGTCACTTTTCACCCAGACTGTTAAACCATCTCCGAAGTAGCTCCCAGCTTCCACCCTGGCACTCCTGCTGTCTTTGTCCGTCTGTGCTGTTATAAAGGAATCCCTGGGGCTGGGTCATTTATTTAAAAAAAAAAAAAAAAAAAAAGGGGTTTATGTAGCTCACGGTTCTGCTGGCTGGAAGGTTCAAGATTGGGCCTCAGGCTGTTTCCACTCCTGGCAGAAGGTGAGGGAGAGCTGGTGTGTGCAGAGATCACGGGGCGAGAGAGGGAGGGGAGGGGAGACGCCACGCCAGGCTCTTAACAACCAGCTCTCCAGGGCACTAAGAGAGCGCTCACTCACCCAGAGGGAGAGCATTAATCTATTCATGAGGGATCTGCCCCCACGACCCAGACACCTCCCATTAGGCCCCAGGTCCAACACTGGGGATCAAATTTCAATGTGAGGTTTGGAGAGGGTCGAATATCCAAACCATAGCTGTTCCACCCCTCTGCCCCAAAACTCGCATCCTTTTCACATTGCAAAATACAGTCATCCCTTCCCAATAGTCCCGAAAGTC